CGGAGGGGGATCATTTGGAGCCTCAGTACTGGACAGAACCCTAGAAGGAGGAGGCATCAGAGGTTGATCATTTGGAGCTTCATTACGCGGTACAGCCCCAGAAGACGAAGGCAATAAATGCCTTTGGAACAAACCCACAAATCTCTGATGATCAAGTAAAACCTGACCATCAGTTTCCTTCATCTGGTCAAGCTTCCTCTTCATGTTTGTAGCATAGTCATGTGCGAGCCGGTGCAAACTGTTTATTCTCATGCTTGAGCCCTCTAATCTCCTGTTTGAGACTCATCACTTCAGCCGCCAATGATTCAACTTGGCGGGTTCGAGCAAATAGGCGTTGTGCCATATTAGACACAGAACCTGCACACTGAACACTGAGAGCCAGCGAATCCTTAACAGCTAACTCATCAGACCGTTTGGAAAGTAGTCTGTTATCTTTGGGAGTGAGAAGGTTCCTGGCCACCACCGCAGCGGTCATATCATTCTTCATCACGGAATCCCCAACGGTAAGAGGACCAGTTGGGGAGACGAAGGATGGGCGCCATATGTTGTCTGGAGAAGGCGGGGCTGCCTCTTCAACAAGGTTCAAGTCAAAACGACGGTCGGAGGGGCCAGACATTTTCAAAGGTGTTGAAGAGAGAAGAGGTCGGACAAATCAAGATCTTAGAAGTGCAAGAATGAAGCTTCTACTGGTGGAGATTCAAGTGTGTGCTTTGGAACTTAATGCCAGCCCCTATAAAAATCTGCACTCGACGGAGCTTCAGAAATCAAAGAGGCGCCTGCTCAGAAATCGAAGAGGCGTTTGCTTTTCTCAAAAGTTGGGCTGCTTAGAGATCACAAGGGTTGATCTCAGAAATCGAAGAGCCGTTTGCTTTCTCAAAAGTTGGGCTGCTCAAAGACCACGAAGGCCGATCTCAGAAATCGAAGAGGCGCTCGCTTTCTCAAAAGCTGGGCTCCCTAGAGACCACGAGGGCCGATCTCAGAAATCGAAGAGGCACCTACTTTTTCCAGCCTTGTCAGCACCTGTCACACGCACACTCAGCTTTTGCGGAAATTATGGGCATTCTGTCAAAGACTTCTGGGGAAGTAGAAAACACATGAATCTTACTGTTCAATCACCCACTTCCCACACGCAACAATAGCTCATGGGTACCACAGATAACTTTGCCAAAGTTCTCTGCCAAAGTTGAGCACGTGAAGCTTGCAGCTCCCACTACATCGCTCTGACCAAGAAGGGTAAAAGAATAGCAAAGAAACAGCACTAACAAAGTTTAGACCCATAAATTTTGAAGGTCTAGCTACCATATTATTACCCACAAGGGTAAAGGAACAGAACCACTGCTGGATAATTGGAAAGTCCATGTATGTCAACCTCTGTGCTTCGTGGCAAGGTAGACTAGCAAACATGCCCAACCTTTACTCACATTCGAGAAAACACTCCCAATAAGATTGCTTGCTCCAAAATCGAAGAGGCACCGTCCTCCGAATCTAAAGAGCCAGACTCCCAACATGACTACTTTCTTAAAAATCGAAGAGAGGGTAAAGGAACAGTACCATTGCTGGATAATTGGAAAGTCCCTGTGTGTCAACCTCTGTGCTTCGTGGCAAGGTAGACTAGCAAACATGCCCAACCTTTACTCACATTCGAGAAAACACTCCCAACAAGATTGCTTGCTCCAAAATCGAAGAGGCACCGCCCTCCGAATCTCGAGAGCCACTCTCCCAACATGATTACTTTCTCAAAAATCGAAGAGACACTGCTCCCCGAATCTCGAGAGCCAGACCCCCAACATGATTGCTTTCTCAAAAATCGGTGAGGCACCGTTCTCCGAATCAATCGAAGAGGCGCTCGCTTTCTCAAAAGCTGGGCTGCTCAGAGACCACGAGGGCCGATCTCAGAAATCAAAGAGGCACCTACTTTTTTCTAGCCTTGTCAGCACCTGTCACACGCACACTCAGCTTTGCAGAAATTATGGGCATTCTGTCGAAGACTTCTGGTGAAGTAGAAAGCACATGAATCTTACTGTTCAATCACCCACTTCCCACACGCAACAATAACTCATGGGTACCACAGATCACTTTGCCAAAGTTCTCTGCCAAAGTTGAGCACGTGAAGCTTGCAGCTCCCACTACATCGCTCTGACCAAGAAAGGTAAAAGAATAGCAAAGAAACAGCACTAACAAAGTTTAGACACATAAATTTTGAAGGTCTAGCTACCATATTATTACCCACAAGGGTAAAGGAACAGTACCACTGCTGGATAATTGGAAAGTCCCTGTGTGTCAACCTCTGTGCTTCGTGGCAAGGTAGACTAGCAAACATGCCCAACCTTTACTCACATTCGAGAAAACAGTCCCAACAAGATTGCTTGCTCCAAAATCGAAGAGGCACCGTCCTCCGAATCTCGAGAGCCAGACTCCCAACATGACTACTTTCTCAAAATCGAAGAGAGGGTAAAGGAACAGTACCATTGCTGGATAATTGGAAAGTCCCTATGTGTCAACCTTTGTGCTTCGTGGCAAGGTAGACTAGCAAACATGTCCAACCTTTACTCACATTCGAGACAACACTCCCAACAAGATTGCTTGCTCCAAAATCGAAGAGGCACCGCCCTCCGAATCTCGAGAGCCAGACTCCCAACATGATTACTTCCTCAAAAATCGAAGAGACACTGCTCTCCGAATCTCGAGAGTCAGACCCCCAACATGATTGCTTTCTCAAAAATCGAAGAGGCATCGTTCTCCGAATCTCGAGAGCCAGATACCACAGACCACTTTTTCAAAGTGCTCTGACAGAGTTAAAACATGTGAAACTGGCAGCTCCCACTACCGTGCTATGACCAAGCAGGGTAAAGGAATAGCATTACTACTTGTTGTTAGGGAGACTCCTATATATGTCGACCTCCATCCCCAACGGACAGGCAGACCTGCAAAAATGCTCAACCCTTCATCATATCTGATAGGGCACTCCCAACAAAGCCTTTCGAAATATTCAGCTTTCTTTCCCCCCGATAATACCTCTGCAAACAAGCTATACTAGAGCAAGAATATCTCATATCATCAGGGTTAAAAGCAAGAGTATCCCATATCATGCTTTTTTTCCCTGTTTTTTCTTTTGGCCTTGTTTTTACCTGCAAGACAAGGAGAAAGAGAGCAATCAGTCAGCACTTGGAATCAAGCTTCCAGCCAGGAACTGACTGCCTGGAACCCCTTACCTGATTACTTACCTGGCATTGCTCTCGAGTACTCATCTTCAACATCTTATGTTTCCAGGGAAGATTCCGCATCTGCTTGAGGAACAGATAGGGCAAGTGCGAAGGATACAAGGAAGCATGTGGAGACAAGCGTAACAGCACACGTGCCGATACATCCATTACTCTGTCAAAAGCAAAAGTATCCCATATCAGCAGGGTGGAACGTACTCTAGATTTGATGGACTTGTTTTGACCCTCAAATTCTTCAGTCGGCCTTATACTTTGGAGGAAACCAGAAAACCCTCCAGCTCAGTTCAAGAATAAGCCTGTGGAAAGTTACTTCTTCAAAAGCAAAAGTATCTCATATCATCTCTTCTCATTTTTCTTCTCTTTATCCTTCATGCTGCTGCAAGATGGGGAGAAGGTGAACAATTAGTCGGAGCTCTGATTGCTTACCTTGTCTGTCACCTCTTTCAGCAGACCCCCTAGCCCGGCGACTTGGGGGACTCCTACTACATGGTTTGTATCGCGCTTGACCAAGCCTGAAACTACAAGTAAGCTTCAAGTGAAATTGATACATTACCTTGTGCATCTCCACCAGTTAAAGATACCACCCCTGGATGGAGGAAGAGTACTTCCAGAGAAGATGCCACATCTACCTATGAGACAGATAAGGCAAGTCAAGACGACACCACACTCCGATACTTAGAAGTTTCGTGATTACGAGATCATTCTCCCACAATATTTCCTAATGTCATTTGTACTAAATCATTCACTTGTACTCACTAAAGGAGAGCTTGAACCTATGTACTTGTGTAAACCCTTCACAATTAATGAGAACTCTTCTATTCCGTGGACGTAGCCAATTTGGGTGAACCACGTACATCTTGTGTTTGCTTTCCTATCTCTATCCATTTATATACTTATCCACACTAATGACCGGAGCAATCTAGCGAAGATCACAAAAAGCGACCGTTTTCGTTACCTATGATCTATCTTGCAAGAGAACGGAGAATTAGATGGAGATCTCAACCATAGAATACGAGCTGGATGGAAAGAGTGCATCCGGCGTGTTGTGTGACCGTCGTAGGCCACTGAAGCTCAAGGGAAAATTTTATAGGACGGCAATAAGGCCAGCGATGTTGTATGGCAGAGAATGTTGGGTGGTGAAGCATCAACACGTACACAAAATGGGTGTAGCGGAGATGAGGATGCTTCGTGGGATGTGTGGGCACACGAGAAAGGATAAGATTGGGAATGAGGATATCCGAGGTACAGTAGGAGTAGCCGAAATTGTAGGAAAGATGAGAGAAAATCGGCTCTGGTGATTTGGACATGTGCAAAGAAGGCCGACTGACGCTCCGGTTCGAAGATGTGACTACGGGACAGAGGTTCAGGGCCGAAGGGGTAGAGGAAGACCTAGGAAAACTTTGGAAGAGACTCTAAGAAAAGACTTAGAGTACTTGGATCTAACGGAGGACATGACACAAAACCGAGCGCAATGGCGTTCTAGGATTCATATAGCCGACCCCACTTAGTGGGAAAAGGCTTTGTTGTTGTTGTTGTTGTTGTTATATGATTTTGATGCTGTAAATTTTGAAAAAGACAAGGGGCATTTTTGTCCTAAAATGTTAAAAATTTATGTCCCACGAACGCGGAACAACCCGTTCCACGGGGGAGAGGTGGAACCAAAAATCATCAAAAACTTGTCCCGTGGAACACCTCGTCCCACTCGTTTTAGGCGCACCAAACGCGGGACGGAACGCCTCGTCCCGTTCCGTCCCGTCCCGTCCCACGTACCAAACGCACCCTGATTGATCAATCACAAATTTGGCAGTGCCTCCGCTGGTCTTGTTATTTTTTGGGTAAGTCATTTGTCATATCGTTTTTTCTCCGTTTGGGACCCCGTTGAAGGGTGTTAGATTAGAATGTGTTTGTAATTTTTTGGAAGAAATGAGAGGAATGATTGGAGTTTGGGTAAATTTGATGTTAGATTAAAATTCGTTTATAATTTTGGTGCATTGTGCATTGCCAGTTCGGAAATCATGCTTCACCAATGGTGTTGCACTGTTTTGGGATTCTGCAAAGTTGGAAACCAGAAAAGAAGACGACTAACATTTTCTTTAGACAAAACGGTGTGTTTCGGCGAAAGTCAAAAGGAAAAGAATGCCTTTGGCGAAACTGGATGGGTGTTAGATTAGATGTGTTTGTCATTTTTGGAAAAAAACAAAGGAGTGATTAGAATTTAGGAAAATTTGATGTTAGGTTAAAATTACCACTGGAAGAGAATCTTTTATTTATCTAAATGATTAAAGAACTTAAAAGGAGAGTTTTATTTTTCTGCCTTTTGTAATGGTCAGAAGGGGTGGGGAAACATTGGTTTTAATTCGTAAAAAAAAAATTGTGAGGTTAATGTTAAACAGCAGATACAGTGTTATTCTAGCTTCAATCATCAGGAAATGTATATCGTAAAAAACAAATTTTTGCTTATTTTTTTCGTTTGTAATTTCTATTTTCAGTTATTGTTATAAATTTTCTGTCGTTTGGTTACAATATGCTCCTAAGAAGAATACATTGCTATTGATATCTTGCATGTTCGCAATTTCTGTTTTCAGTTATTGTTGTAAATTTTCTGTCGTTTGCTTATAGCATTTTAGCTTTTGCTATAGTTTTTCCAATGCCTAAGAAAAATTTTACGTTGCTGTTGATGTCTTGCATGTCCACCTCGCAAAGATTACAAGGTATGTTGCCACTCCTCATGATCTCCATATCTATTGCCTAAACAATTCTAACAAATATTATATAACCCATGTCAACTAGCAAAGAACTGGATCATGTATGGGGTCCAGACATCTTCAATCTGGAATTATCTTTTATATATATATATATATTTGTATATTGCAACCCTTCTTAATGATAAATTATTAAATAGACTATGTAATGTAATTGCTTAATCTTTTACTGCACCTTAAACAACCAAAAGCTAGAGATGATGAAAAAAAGATTCCGCCTTGCGCAACTTACAAGGTATGCTTTAACCTATGCTTTCATGAATTTCATTCGAATCAATGCTGGTTGTAAATGCATTTGAACGTATTTAATTTTACGCCCGCAGCATCGCACGAGCACGATTGCTAGTTTTTCCTATAGATCAGTGCCATCACTTATAGATTTCTTATCCAAGTAGGGGATTGTCATGGTTTTATGCAAGTCAAATTGAGTGTACTAGTAACTAAATGAACTTACTGCTTATCTTTAGCTTTGTTCATTGGTTTTTCAAGTGGGGTTTTTGCTACTGTCATTGGAGACCTATGAAATGACTAATTGATTTCTTTATCCAAGTAGATATTGTTACAGTTCAATTAAATGTGCTAGCAACTAAACGTACAATTGCTGCTTAGCCGGCTGTTCTTAAACAAGAAATTGTGAAGACAAACAATTTAGATTTGTTCCTCGGTTTTGCAGTTGGTACTGTCATTGGAGAACGCGGAACTGCAACCGTTCTCTTGGTTTTGGATAATGTGATAGTTATTGCGGCAGATTCGAGAATAAGCTCCATCACCAATTGGATAGTGAAGCTTTATCGGTTTAAGGTTAGGAAGATTAGAGAAAATCTAGCTTCAGTCGCTTATTACAACGAAAATATAGTGGGTGCGGAAAACAGGTTAGATCACTTAGAGGACAAGGGGAAGAAAACATGTTCACACAAATCGCTAATTCGAGCCACATCCAAATTTATGAAGAACAATGTGCCTTGGAAATCGTTTGGAGGTCATCGTGCCTTGATAGATTCTAGACCAATGGCGCACTTGGTTTTGCATGAGGCTAAACCGCAACATGTGGCCGGTTGTCGATGGGAAGCTAACTAGGACAAGTGTAATTGCTGGGATATAGACTCAAAAAGACAGATATTGTGCAAAGAGGACTCGAGGAATATACTGTCTGGGCAATGGAGGAAATGATGCATGCTATTCTGTACATTCGTAAGCATGCAGTACAATCACATAAACGAAGGTAAACTTTCAACTTGTATTTGAAAGCTACATAATAGCATGCAACATTTCCTCCACTACCCAGACAATATAGTCCTTGAGTCCTCTGTGCGCAGTATCTGTCTTTAGAGATTGAGTTTATGTCCCAACAATTACACTTGTCCCACACCGACAATCGGCCACATGTTGCAGTTTGACCTCGTGCACAACCAAGTGTGCCATTGGTTTAGAATCTATGGAGGCAAGATGGGCTCCAAACGATTCTCAAGGCACATTGTTCTTCATAAATTTGGACGCGGCTCAAATTAGCGATTTGTGTGAACGTGTTTTCTTCCCTTGTCCTCTAAGTGATCTAACATGTTTTCCGCACCCGCTGTAACAAGCGACCGAAGCTGGATTTTCTCCAATCTTCCTAACCTTAAACCGATGAGGCTTCACTATCTAATTGGTGATGGAGCTTAATCTCAAATCCGCCGCAATAACTATCACATTATCCAAAACCAAGAGAATGGTTGCAGTTCCGTGTTCTGGAGAGCAAACCAAAAAAGGGGAAAGGGCGAGAACTAATTAGTCATACGATGTACGCGGCATGGTCTCAGTTGAGTTTGTGAGAGGATTGATAGGAGATATAGAACTGATGAAGATTGTATGAGAGGATTGATAGGAGATCTCAGTTGAGTCTGTGAGAGGATTATCTACCCAGAATGGAGAAATTTTTCATTGAGTCAATAAGACATGGACTCAAATAAATGGATGTGCCTGATACCCATCTTTTAGGAGTTTTGAAACCATGAGACAAATGACCTCCGTGAGACAAGTCCAAACCCTAAGTTGCATGCACATGTTAGTAGCCTGTAGCCACCAATAAAAAGAGTAAACCAAGCCCAAGAAATAAACTTACCATGAGACGATCATGAGGTTTAAGAATTGCAGTATAAACCTCAAAATTAGCAGGAGAACCAGACAATGGTTGAACATTAACACCCCACCTCTTTCCATCTAAGTGAAATGCATCAAGAGCCCTCTTTGGCATAGTGTTTCAAGCTCATCAATATGCTCATTGCCACCATAGTACCTGAAACGAACAATCAAACGATGATCTACACCAAGAAAAATAATTTTAATGGAAGGTCCCTATTGAACTCGCATTACTCTGAGTCGTAGTATATGTACCTTTTACTTGGTAATCCTTTTGAATACTTGTTCGTGAGACATGAGCTAACTGCCTCCGTCACTACCCAACAACAACAACAACAAAGCCTTTTCCCACTAAGTGGGGTCGGCTATATGAATCCTAGAACGCCATTGCGCTCGGTTTTGTGTCATGTCCTTCGTTAGATCCAAGTACTCTAAGTCTTTTCTTAGAGTCCCTTCCAAAGTTTTCCTAGGTCTTCCTCTACCCCTTCGGCCCTGGACCTCTGTCCCGTAGTCACATCTTCGAACCGGAGCGTCAGTCGGCCTTCTTTGCACATGTCCAAATCACCGGAGCCGATTTTCTCTCATCTTTCCTACAATTTCGGCTACTCCTACTTTACCTCGGATATCCTCATTCCCAATCTTATCCTTTCTCGTGTGCCCACACATCCCACGAAGCATCCTCATCTCCGCTACACCCATTTTGTGTACGTGTTGATGCTTCACCACCCAACATTTTGTGCCATACAACATTGCTGGCCTTATTGTTGTCCTATAAAATTTTCCCTTGAGCTTCAGTGGCCTACGACGGTCACACAACACGCCGGATGCACTCTTTCCATCCAGCTCGTATTCTATGGTTGAGATCTCCATCTAATTCTCCGTTCTCTTGCAAGATAGAATCCTAGGTAGCGAAAACGGTCGCTTTTTGTGATCTTCGCTAGATTGCTCAGGTCATTAGTGTGGATAAGTATATAAATGGATAGAGATAGGAAAGCAAATACAAGATGTACGTGGTTCACCCAGATTGGCTACGTCCACGGAATAGAAGAGTTCTCATTAATTGTGAAGGGTTTACACAAGTACATAGGTTCAAGCTCTCCTTTAGTGAGTACAAGTGAATGATTTAGTACAAATGACATTAGGAAATATTGTGGGAGAATGATCTCGTAATCACGAAACTTCTAAGTATCGGAGTGTGGTGTCGTCTTGACTTGCCATATCTGTCTCATAGGTAGATGTGGCATCTTCTCTGGAAGTACTCTTCCTCCATCCAGGGGTGGTATCTTTAACTGGTGGAGATGCACAAGGTAATGTATCAATTTCACTTGAAGCTTACTTGTAGTTTCAGGCTTGGTCAAGCGCGATACAAACCATGTAGTAGGAGTCCCCCAAGTCGCCGAGCTAGGGGGTCTGCTGAAAGAGGTGACAGACAAGGTAAGCAATCAGAGCTCCGACTGATTGTTCACCTTCTCCCCATCTTGCAGCAGCATGAAGGATAAAGAGAAGAAAAATGAGAAGAGATGATATGAGATACTTTTGCTTTTGAAGAAGTAACTTTCCACAGGCTTATTCTTGAACTGAGCTGGAGGGTTTTCTGGTTTCCTCCAGAGTATAAGGCCGACTGAAGAATTTGAGGGTCAAAACAAGTCCATCAAATCTAGAGTACGTTCCACCCTGCTGATATGGGATACTTTTGCTTTTGACAGAGTAATGGATGTATCGGTACGTGTGCTGTTACGCTTGTCCTCCATGCATGCTTGTATCCTTCGCACTTGCCCTATTTCTTCCTCAAGCAGATGCGGAATCTTCCCTGGAAACATAAGATGTTGAAGATGAGTGATACTCGAGAGCAATGCCAGGTAAGTAATCAGGTAAGGGGTTCCAGGCAGTCAGTTCCCTGGCTGGAAGCTTGATTCCAAGTGCTGACTGATTGCTCTCTTTCTCCTTCTCTTGCAGGTAAAAACAAGGCCAAAAGAAAAGACAGGGAAAAAAGCATGATATGGGATACTCTTGCTTTTAACCCTGATGAGATATGAGATATTCTTGCTCTAGTATTATAGCTTGTTTGCAGAGGTATTTTATCGGAGGGAAAGAAAGCTGAAATATTTCGAAAGGCTTCGTTGGGAGTGCCCTCTTAGATATATGATGAAGGGTTGAGCATTTTTGCAGGTCTGCCTGTCCGTTGGGGATGGAGGTCGACATATATAGGAGTCTCCCTAACAACAAGTAGTAATGCTATTCCTTTACCCTGCTTGGTCATAGCACGGTAATGGGAGCTGCCAGTTTCACATGTTTTAGCTCTGTCAGAGCACTTTGAAAAGGTGGTCTGTGGTATCTGGCTCTCGAGATTCGGAGAACGATGCCTCTTCGATTTTTGAGAAAGCAATCATGCTGGGGGTCTGACTCTCGAGATTCGGAGAGCAGTGTCTCTTCGATTTTTGAGGAAGTAATCATGTTGAGAGTCTGGCTCTCGAGATTCGGAGGGCGGTGCCTCTTCGATTTTGGAGCAAGCAATCTTGTTGGGAGTGTTGTCTCGAATGTGAGTAAAGGTTGGGCATGTTTGCTAGTCTACCTTGCCACGAAGCACAAAGGTTGACACACAGGGACTTTCCAATTATCCAGCAATGGTACTGTTCCTTTACCCTCTCTTCGATTTTGAGAAAGTAGTCATGTTGGGAGTCTGGCTCTCGAGATTCGGAGGACGGTGCCTCTTCGATTTTGGAGCAAGCAATCTTGTTGGGAGTGTTTTCTCGAATGTGAGTAAAGGTTGGGCATGTTTGCTAGTCTACCTTGCCACGAAGCACAGAGGTTGACACACAGGGACTTTCCAATTATCCAGCAGTGGTACTGTTCCTTTACCCTTGTGGGTAATAATATGGTAGCTAGACCTTCAAAATTTATGTGTCTAAACTTTTGTTAGTGCTGTTTCTTTGCTATTCTTTTACCTTTCTTGGTCGGAGCGATGTAGTGGGAGCTGCAAGCTTCACGTGCTCAACTTTGGCAGAGAACTTTGGCAAAGTTATCTGTGGTACCCATGAGCTATTGTTGCGTGTGGGAAGTGGGTGATTGAACAGTAAGATTCATGTGTTTTCTACTTCACCAGAAGTCTTCGACAGAATGCCCATAATTTCTGCAAAGCTGAGTGTGCGTGTGACAGGTGCTGACAAGGCTAGAAAAGTAGGTGCCTCTTCGATTTCTGAGATCGGCCCTCGTGGTCTCTAAGCAGCCCAGCTTTTGAGAAAGCGAGCGCCTCTTCGATTGATTCGGAGAACGATGCCTCATCGATTTTTGAGAAAGCAATCATGTTGGGGGTCTGGCGTGCCTCTTCGATTTTGGAGCAAGCAATCTTGTTGGGAGTGTTTTCTCGAATGTGAGTAAAGGTTGGGCATGTTTGCTAGTCTACCTTGCCACGAAGCACAGAGGTTGACACACAGGGACTTTCCAATTATCCAGCAATGGTACTGTTCCTTTACCCTCTCTTCGATTTTTAAGAAAGTAGTCCTGTTGGGAGTCTGGCTCTCGAGATTCGGAGGACGGTGCCTCTTCGATTTTGGAGCAAGCAATCTTATTGGGAGTGTTTTTCTCGAATGTGAGTAAAGGTTAGGCATGTTTGCTAGTCTACCTTGCCACGAAGCACAGAGGTTGACACACACAGGGACTTTCCAATTATCCAGCAGTGGTACTGTTCCTTTACCCTTGTGGGTAATAATATGGTAGCTAGACCTTCAAAATTTATGGGTCTAAACTTTGTTAGTGCTGTTTCTTTGCTATTCTTTTACCCTTCTTGGTCAGAGCGATGTAGTGGGAGCTGCAAGCTTCACGTGCTCAACTTTGGCAGAGAACTTTGGCAAAGTTATCTGTGGTACCCATGAGCTATTGTTGCGTGTGGGAAGTGGGTGATTGAACAGTAAGATTCATGTGTTTTCTACTTCCCCATAAGTCTTTGACAGAATGCTCATAATTTCCGCAAAGCTGAGTGTGCGTGTGACAGGTGCTGACAAGGCTGGAAAAGTAGGTGCCTCTTCGATTTCTGAGAGCGGCCCTCGTGGTCTCTGGGGAGCCCAGCTTTTGAGAAAGCGAGCGCATCTTCGATTTCTGAGATCGGCCTTCGTGGTCTTTGAGCAGCCCAACTTTTGAGAAAGCAAACGCCTCTTCGATTTCTGAGATCAACCCTCGTGATCTCTAAGCAGCCCAGCTTTTGAGAAAGCAAACGCCTCTTCGATTTCTGAGCAGGCGCCTCTTCGATTTCTGAAGCTCCGTCGAGTGCAGATTTTTATAGGGGCTGGCATTAAGTTCCAAAGCACACTTGAATCTCCACCAGTAGAAGCTTCATTCTTGCACTTCTAAGATCTTGATTTGTCCGACCTCTTCTCTCTTCAACACCTTTGAAAATGTCTGGCCCCTCCGACCGTCGTTTTGACTTGAACCTTGTTGAAGAGGCAGCCCCGCCTTCTCCAGACAACATATGGCGCCCATCCTTCGTCTCCCCTACTGGTCCTCTTACCGTTGGGGATTCCGTGATGAAGAATGATATGACCGCTGCGGTGGTGGCCAGGAACCTTCTCACTCCCAAAGATAACAGACTACTTTCCAAAACGGTCTGATGAGTTAGCTGTTAAGGATTCGCTGGCTCTCAGTGTTCAGTGTGCAGGTTCTGTGTCTAATATGGCCCAACGCCTATTTGCTCGAACCCGCCAAGTTGAATCATTGGCGGCTGAAGTGATGAGTCTCAAACAGGAGATTAGAGGGCTCAAGCATGAGAATAAACAGTTGCACCGGCTCGCACATGACTATGCTACAAACATGAAGATGAAGCTTGACCAGATGAAGGAAACTGATGGTCAGGTTTTACTTGATCATCAGAGATTTGTGGGTTTGTTCCAAAGGCATTTATTGCCTTCGTCTTCTGGGGCTGTACCGCGTAATGGAGCTCCAAATGATCAACCTCTGATGCCTCCTCCTTCTAGGGTTCTGTCCAGTACTGAGGCTCCAAATGATCCCCCTCCGGTGCCTTCTCTTTCAGGGGCTCTACCGACTGCTGAGACTTCTCCTAAGCAACCTTTGTGAAGGCTCCCTCTTGTGTGTTTATTTTGACTCATGTATATGTACATATTTGTAGCTTATCGGGGATATCAATAAATAAGCTTTCCTTCATTTCAACGCATTGTGTTAAATACACCAAAGCCTTCTTCGCTAAGTTCTTTGAATTTTCTTTTGTTGAAGCTTGTATGTTGAAGCTTTCAGAGTGGAGCATGTAGGTTGGGGTAGTGTTCCCTTAATTTCCCGAGTGAGGAAAACTTCTCGGTTGGAGACTTGGAAAATC